TTAGTGTAAAATTGTAAATTGTTAAATTATTAAAGCTTTTGATACAAAATGTTTTGTATATCCAAAATAAGATCTAGTGAAACTCCTAATAATGAGCAAGATTCTGTTTATTTGTCATCATGGAGAGATTCCATTCGCATGATGTCTAGAATGCTTGACTAGCATAAAGCTTCAATCCAACTTGGCTGTTAAGTCTTTCCTTGAGGACTCTATTTCTGTTGGTTTAATTTGAAAATACTGCTTCAAGGCTTCTGCAGAAATAGAGGGCATAAAATGGTCTCATAGAACCTAAATATTTTTATGTTAAATCTTCCCATTTTCAGCATAGAAAATAGTTCAGCAATACTAACATGATTTTTTGGAACTTTCCTGGTGTCTTCCTGTCTTTCATTTTCATACCTATACAGATAGGTATTTTTCCATTTCTAAAGGAAGAGAGAATCTGCAAAAAATATTCTAAGAAAAATCACTTGCAATACTAAATAGTATTCATTAAAAGTGGTTGAATGCAGTCAAAAACCCAATGCATATCCTACAAAATTAAGAAGAGTGAGGAAAAGATACATAGGGGAGGAAAAGGAGAGAATGCTGAAAAGGTTGATATTGATCAAGATGCATTGTATTTACAGAATGCTTTGCTAAATGATAACTCATTTTTACAACTACTTAAAGATAATAAATAAATTTACAAGTCTGAAAATAAGTGAATGTAATCCATTAAGTTATAGTCTATTTACATGGTCTTAAATAGAGGTTTTATGTGTTGCTCAAAATGTTTAATGTTCTTCTAAATTTGAACTAGTGTATTCTTAAATCTTCCAATATTCCCAGTAATCTAGTATTCCTTATTTTATTTATTTATCTAATTTGATTTTTGTGGTGGGGAAGCAAACTTAGAGTCTGGTGAGCAGAGGCAAGTATTCCTCAGCTAAAAAAACCACACTCAGTATTACACACACACACACACACACACACACACACACACACACACACACACACACACACACACCACTGTCTTGCTATGTGGGCCATTTCTCTCATTTGCTCCAAACTTCTGGGCTCGAGCAAAGCTCCAGCCTTAGCCATCTGGGTAGCTAGAACAATAACGTTAATTTCTAGTATTTTTAAATGCTCACAGGAGCTAATTGTCATATTGTTACTTACTTTATTCCGTATTCTGTAACCTTTATAGGAGCTGCAACATGTATATAAAATGTTAGCTAACATTAAATACTGATTTCTTTTAGGTAGTTGAATGCATCTCTCCTAATGCGACCATCAATATAAAATGCATCTCAAAAATAAGATTGTAATGGATTATTCAATATTTTTTTGTCATTCCTATTGCCAAATGTGATGATATTTTGTAGCTCATCAGCTGGGGGCTTAAAGTTTACATTCACATTACATTGTATTTTGTTCAGTAAATATAGCTGTTAATGTTTATAATACTAAATAATAATTTTATCAAAAGATATAGAAAAGAAAGTATATTTTGTATCATTTTCCCTTTGCTGGTAATTCATAGTACCGGCTCAGCTGCCTTAAGCAATGTAGGTACCATAACCAAAATGTAGTTTATTAAATTATGTATTTATGAGAGAACCCCTTCACCCTCAGCTCATAGTTAATAACTATTCAGTTTTGCCATTGTATTGAAAAAAGGGCATTATCTGTAAGAAATTACAAAATGTGATCTTTGGGATGCTACCTTAGTTCACTACATCCAATTTTCTTCTTTACCATGGGTGATTTTGTTGAGCATAGCACTTATATTTGACAAATATGTGAATATACATTTTTATTGACTTTGAGGACAATATCTTGTCACCTGTTTTATATCTTAATCTGTGTTGAACAGGGAGTGCCATTAAAATGTTTCATATGCATCAAAAGAGAGACACCATGCCTCTGATGGCAGTGTAATTACACAGTACATCATGAGCGATCTGACTTTGGCACAGCTGCAGATTACTTAAGAGTTTTGAATTAATCTGAATGACCCCAGCTTTATTGCTGTTGAGATTTTAAAAATGACAAAATGTCAAGTCATTGGAATTAAACCAGCAGAACCTAAACAATCTGACATGACTAATGCGTACCTTCTCTCACTTGCTCCATGCTCCACAGACTTTATTACCAGATGCAATATTTTATTGAGAAATATATGTCTAATGAACGTGAGTGTCTCCAACCTTAATAAAATGTATGTCTGTTATGGGAAGAACAGGAAATACACTGTTCTTTATGTTTGTAGCTTACATATACTAAAACTTCAGCACTCCAAAAGATGCGCATGGTGAATCACTGATTTGCCTTGCTTTTATCTCTATTTAAAGGTGTGCGTGTGAAAGGAACGTTATTCACTCAATCCTTTTGGGAAAATGGTACTGTTTCAATTTATCACAAGTTTTTCAACACCATTAAGTAATAATGAAATTTGTGGATGTACTCCACACTGACAATATTTAAAAAGAATTGCTTGCATAACCTTAGAACTTATATTGACAAATTGCCACACACACACACAATCTGCCTCCACATTTATTGTTATTGAGTGCATACAAACTTCTTTTGTGAAGAAGAAAATTCATACCTCAGCATATTGTTGTCAAAAAAGGATCTTTCATCTCCAGTCTGCCTTATCTGATGCCTTGCTGATTACTTCTCTCTGTCCACGCATGTTACTGATTTCACACGAGAAGGTTTCAATTTTATCTCAACTCTTTGCACTCACTAACTGTAATCCTTAAGAGATGACTCCAGACTATCTTACTGCCCTTGACACTTCGTTCTTTTTCCTTTAAATCTTTAACTCTGCAAATAAACAAACTAGTATATGGACCTAATACGTAACTTTAAAGTTGCTATGCCTGAATAGATATATAATAGCATCACCCTACAAGTTACATCCCTGACTGCCAAACCTGGCCATTCCACTCATGCATTCTCATTACCAACACACACACACACACACACACACACACACACACACACACACACACACATTTTTTGCCGGTCCTGGAGCTTGAACTCTGGGCCTGGGCACTGTCACTGCACTCTTCAGCTCAAGGCTAGCGCTCTACCTCTTGAGCCACAGCGCCACTTCCAGAGATAAGGGTCTTTGGACTTTCCTGCGCAGGCTGGCCTTGAACCGAGATCCTCATACGTCAGCTTCCTGAGCAGCTAGGATTACAGGCGTCAGCCACTGGCGCCCAGCTCCTTATTCAGTATTTTAACCGCTGCCTATCTCTTTCAAATCTACTGTCAGCCATTTCCTTGGCAAGCTTTAGTACACAAGTTCCAAATTTACTGACAGAGCAGGATTTGTATCAAAATATCTTCAGATGAATATTTAGCCCTCTTGAGACCAACTACATGTAAGCTTTGAGGTGGTGTCCATTGGAAGGAAATAAAAAAATAAGACTGACCATAACTTAGAAGAAAAAAATGATACATAGTTGCTGGTTACAGACGCTAGCAAGATTTAACTGTCAATTTTAGCAGATTTTGAAGGAGCCATTAGACATTAAGCCTTAGTAGGAAAGGAAAGCTAAAGTGGCTGAGTGATTATCAGGTGTGATTCTTTGGAGTCTTGGAGCAAATGAGCGATACTGTCATGAGTATATAATATACAAGACAATATGGAAATGCAACTGGAAACTCGGAAACATGTGAGTCACCGTGATGAGTTCAAACACGGAATGCCCTTCCAAACGCAATACTGGAATTTAAGAGGAAAGCCTCAATACAAAAAGTATATTTCACAGATTGATGTGGCGTTCCCCTTTTTAACTTTCACTTCTTTCCATTCCGGTCTTTCCCTACTTTTATCTGAGTAGTGTTGCCGTTATTTATTGATTGTGAGCGGGTTGTTGTACGTGCCCCACCGTGAACAGTGTGCTTACACAAATGGCATCCGTAGGTAAAGCTTTTCCTTTGATTTGGTTTGGTTTCTGGATATTGGAAATATGGATGCTGCATAGAGTAATCAATATCTATTTTGACAGAATGCCTGAGAAATAACACACATTGTCTTTTCTTTGTCATAGTTTTTTTTTTTCTTCTTTCTATTTCACTTCTGGCTTTTTCTGTTTATGTGGTACTGAGGAATTGAACCTAGGGCTTCATGCTGCTAGGCAAGCACTCTACCACTAAGCCACATTCCCAACCCTTGTTATAGATAGATAGATAGATAGAGATATAAATATATAGACATATATGTGTGTGTATGTATATATATGTATATATACATATATATGCATAGGTATAGATATATGAAAGAAATATAGAGACATTTTAAATTGTGACTAAACAGAAGTTTTAAAACATGCCTGGGAGTAAAATTCTGGTTTTACTTTTGTGGAACATTACAGATATTCATGGTCTTAGAATGTTTTATATGGATAGGAATTTTTTTTTCTGATTCAGCTTCCATTTCATAGAAATATATTTGCACCATCTGGTGGTAAAACTAAGCTTTGTTCGTTTTTTCTCTTTAATGCTACAAACTAAGTGGATTACAAAATTTCATATTTTAATTTAAAATATGTATAATATATTTAGAAGGTATTAAATTAGTATTATTAAAGTAAAGTTGAGTCTTAGTATCTAATATACTTTTTGTCTGTGACTTAAATCCTGATACTTCTGAGTGAGTGAGTGTGTGTGTGTTTGTGACATCAATTATCTTGTTACTGAAGATAAATAATTTCACTCTGATGATTGATAATCATTATACTTAGTTATCCTCAAAATAAATACTATTTTATAACAATAATTTTAATTTAACACACTCTACAATATATAATGCCTAGTTCAAATTCAATAGCAGGAAATTTTGAAGTGAAATGTGAAATTCTTACTTCTAATCATAATCTGTAACTTGAGAGTAAGTGCAGTATGTTGTTCTAAATTTGAGTTATGTTCTATAAGCTATTTTTTACAATCTTTTCACTGTGTATTGATTGTGCCTCTGCAAAACACATATGTTTTCTTAGGCATCTTCCATCTGAAAGTCCCCGAATCTTCTCCTATTGGCTCAGCTATTGGAAGAATAAGAGCTGTGGATCCTGATTTTGGACAAAATGCTGAAATTGAGTACAACATTGTTCCAGGAGATGGGGGAAATCTGTTTGACATTGTCACCGATGAGGCTACACAAGAAGGCATCATTAAACTGAAAAAGGTACAGAGTTGTATTTTGGAAGATTTTCTTAATAATAATAATAATGATAATAATAATAATAAAATGGAAAAGTAATTCTATTTTCCTTTAATTAGAAAATAATCAAAAATTAGTATTGGAAGCTGTGAAATATTCAGTCCCAATAACAAGTCTAAATTTGTGATTCTAATACATTGAACAAAGGGGCTCTTCTTGTCTGATTGCATACTTTTAAAAAATTCTTACCAGAGTTTATTTATGATTTGACTGATTTTCTTAGTACAAATTTAGGAAATATATTATTTGAAAAACAACATGTAGAAATAAATTCATACCCAAATCTAATCATGCCCTTAATTTTATCTAGTGTTGGTCTAAGACTATAAATACCAAATTCACCATATTATTGATAAAAAGAAGAAGAAGAAAGGCAGTGTAGGTGAGTTGTCATCACCAGAGTAGAAGAAATAAGAATGAATATTTATGACATTCAGGGAGCTATAAGGAGCATGATAAGAAAGAAAGATTAGGGAACAAAATGAAACATGAGAAGATTCTGCATACCAATGTTAAACTAAGTAGTAGAGGAAAACATGTGAAAGCATAGAACAGAGTTAGGTGGAATAGTACAGACCAGTTACTTCATAGTTATTAGTCAGAGGGATAGAGTGTACAAAGAGGTAAGATAAATATTGGTTGCATTTGTGTATGTGGTATGTACTTTGCTTTTCTAACCTGACCAATCACAGGAATTTTGAATAATGAAGTGCAGTCAGAGATATTAACCTCACTTGATTTAGTATTTTCCTCTTGTTCTTAATCCCAATGCTCTTACTCCCAAATCACATTATCATAGTATTTTCTAATTGTGGTTATTATATTTGAATTGCTAAATAACTTATTACAAGTGACACATTTTGTTGTTTTCGTTCATGATCAATTAGTGTCATGTTAGTCAATGAATTTTTAGTTATTGACATAAAAAATGGAATCTGTGTGTGTTAAAGTGATTCCATTTCAGAACAAGAATGCAATTAGTGTTGGGTTTTCATCATTTTAAAGCTGTAACAAACGTCTCTGACAGAGCTCCATCTAATAAATTCATATGCAATATTCTGGAATCAAGCGTTAGTGTCTTCTCACTAATGATAATAATTTGGAAGCGTAATTACTAATCCCTCATGTAAAGCTTTTTTAATTTTTAAATTAGTATACATTAATTATGCAAAGGCTACATAATGATACATGGACTGATACATGGTTATATACATATCATGAACTTTGATCATGTTATGATTCTTTTAAATCAGAAAAAATGTTTTTTGTGACATTGGTAAAGATAATGAATAGGCATAAATATAGGTTTTAAAAAGTATAAAATTATATACATATGTATAAGTTATGATTATAATTTAATAGATAAAACTATATGTGTATATATAGCACTATATATGATAACAGTCATATCTTTATCCATATAAATCACATAATACCTATCATCCAGTGCAGCCACACACTATACCATTCCTGGGACAAACTCTGTGAAATTTATCCCCACTTATCAATGGGCATTTACAATTTGCTCATGAGTTCTGAATTTACCAACAAACAGTGTATGGGGTATTGAAAATCTACAAAACAAATCTAATATGTAGCTTGATGCTGTCACCTAATAAAATCTAAAATTAATTTATATGAAGAGATATTTTGCATGTGATCATTTATATTAGTTTTATTTTGTATAATGCACAGGCATTGTATTTGTATAGTAATTCAACTAATTTACATGATAATATTTAACAAGGTTATACATTTGTGCTGAACTTGAGATGCAAAAAATAGTATCAAATTTGGATTGATATCATTACTATTGACCAGGTTTTCACCTCTTTTTCAGTAGTAGATGTATTTGTTATTATTGTAAAAGTGATGTACAGAGTAGTACAAGCTACATGGTCAGATAAAGAGGGCATTTCTTTTTGAACAGTGTCACCCATTCCCTTTCTCTCTCCCAGTTTTATTCTTCCATTCCCACCTACAAATTTTATAGTTCATGTTCAACATGAGATACAGTGAGTATTACTGCTATGTTTGGTCAGAACTCAAAAATGTAAAGATGAAACAAAGTATATTTTCAAAGCATTACTGAGGTACAGAAGATTCAGTTTGTGTATATTAATTAATTTATTTATTGTCCATCTTGGGCCTTGAAATCAGGGCCTGCATCCTGTCTCTGAGGTTTTGCACTCAAGAACAGCACTCTTCCACTTTGAATCAGTGCCACTTCTGGTTTTCTGGTGATTAATAAAAAGAAAAGAGTCTCACAGACTTTCCTAACTGGGCTGGGATTGAACTGTGATCTCAGATCTTAATCTTCTGAGTAGTGGAAATTACAAACATGAGCCATCTGCCCCTAGCTTAAATATGTTTAATGTTATAATAGTTTATATATGGTAGAAAATATATGGTAGTTTATATATTTATATATATGTACCAAATATAATAAATATATTCAAAATATATATAACAATATTTTTATATATGTATTAATACATATGTATAAAATTATGGATATATGTGCCTACATTATTTTAGCTTCACATCCAGTCATCATCTTGGCCAATAAATGATGAATGTCTATGTGTCAATCCAGAAAAATGTCTGCCATTTCTTACATTTTACTGAGTTTGGAAAGGGAATTTTTATTTACTTTTTTTTTTTTTTTTAAATTTTTGTCAGTCATGGAAGATTGAACTCTGAGCCTGGGCGCTATCCCTGCGCTCTTCAGCTCAAGGCGAGCACTCTGCTGCTTGACCTACAGCGCCACTTCCGGCTTTCTAGTGGTTTATTGGAGATAAGAGTCTCACAGACTTTCCTGCCTGGGCTGGGTTTGAACCATGATCCTCAGATCTCAGCCTCTTGAGTAGCTAGGATTACAGGTGTGAGCCACCGACACCCTGCTAGAAAGGGAATTCTTAACAGATATTAAACTGCTTTAACAGTAATTCTTTACTGCTTGATTTCAAAACAATTTCTTTTCCAAAGTAATGTTCTAATTTTTTTTTATTGTGAACATAAGGTACAGAGGGGTTACAATTACATGGGCAAGAAAATGAGTACATTTCTTATCAAGCATTGTTGCCTCCTCCTTTATTTCCCTTTCTCATCCCTTCCCATAACCCCCACACACACATACCCAGTCCAACCCCCCAACACCCTCTCCCTCCAAGCACCCAAGCAAAAGTTGTAAAGTTTGTTTTTCAACATAATGACATGTACATCTCACTTTTGCAATGGGTCCACCTGTATTCCTATTTGTTTACCCTTCCCATCCCTTCCCAGCCTCCCCCTGCCTCCCCACCCAATCCTCCCCACCCCCCCAACAAAAGTTGTAAAGTTCATTTTCAACATGACAACTTGTACTTCTCATTGTTGCAACGGGTCCACCTGTATCCTTATTTAAACGACTTGTTTTTCCCCTTCCCCTCCACAAATTATACCAACATCAAATACAGTGAAAACAGGGGTTATACCATGGGGGAGGGACATACAAAGCAACAAAGAAATATCTTATAAATATGTTAAAAAAAATAGCAAGAAAGGAAAAAAAAACATTTGAGTCCTTATCTAGGGGGTTCATTTCACCTAACATCATCTTATCTGACCTTTTCTGCTTGTCTCAGACATATACTAGTTATTGCAAATAAGGGAAACCATGGGACCTATGTTTCTTTGGGTCTGGCTTACTTTACTTAATATAACTTTTTCCAAGTCTTTCCATTTCCTAACAAATGGGGCAATGTCATTCTTTCTGCTGGAGGCATAGAATTCCATTGTGTATATATACCACATTTTCTTGATCCATTCATCTACTGAGGGGCATCTGGGTTGGTTCCATATCTTAGCTATGGTAGATAATGTGGCAATAAACATAGTTGTGCTGGTAGCTTTAGTATGGTTTTGTTTGTGATCATTTGGGTAAATGCCCAAAAGTGGGATTGCTGGGTCATAGGGGAGCTCTATGTGGATTCGTTTGAGGAACCTCCATACTGCTTTCCAAAGTGGTTGAACAAGTTTACACTCCCTCCAACAATGCAGTAGGGTTCCCTTCTGTCCACATCCCCTCCAGCATCTGTTGTTATTGGAGTTCTTGATTATAGCCATTCTAACTGGTGTGAGATGGTATCTCAATGTTGTTTTGATTTGCATTTCTTTTATGGCTAGGGAGGTTGAGCATTTCTTCATGTGTCTATTGGCCATAAGTAACTTTACACTAAAGCAGTGGAAAGTATTTTAAGCAATCTGGTTGATGAAAAACTTCGCAAAGAATACAAATGATATTTTTTAACATTTATATTTATTTTATTGAACTTTTAACTATTTTTATGTTTTCAATGTACTAAAATAGAGGGTTATGCAATTGTGAGATACATTTACTACTAAAACTTGTTTAGATAATATAGATAGTCTTTCTGGAGAGTAATGCTTCAAATTTATATATATATATATATATATATATATATATATATATACACACACACACATATATATATGGGTGTGTATATATATAAATATATACATATACATACTTATATGTAAGTGTGTGTGTGTGTGTGTGTGTGTGTGTGTGCTTGTATGTGTGTAATATGTTCTTCCTTTGGTGAATGAATCATTGGTCAATTTCTGGCTATCAATTAGTTATATAAATAATGCTCAGTGGCTATAATTGCAGGTCTATTAAATTTCACTCAATTGAAATTAAAAGAGAAAGTCCTTGCAGACTTGCAAGGTAGAGAACTGAAATAAACAGATATCTTCCTTTGACTCAAGATGCTTTTATCACTTTGGGAATTAAAAAAAAATCAACAAACATTAAAACTTCTCTTGCCAGTAATAAAGTTTAATCATGAATGTCATAAAACATGACCAAAATATAATAGGATATGGAGGTCATAGTCTCATTGTAAATTGGACAGAAAGATCCCTCAGGTGACATAAAATGTAAACAGAAATCTGAAGGA